CATGCTGCCTCACAAATGACAGAAATCAAGCTACTGCTTATTTGATTCATTTTGATTTGATTGGTATACAGGAATTAGTCACAATCACACAAAAGTATTTTTTATGTTTACAATTTATTTGTATTATTATGAGCCATTGACATTGACCAGAAGATGACACTAGTTCTTTATTCCGGATGATGACCATTGTATTAAACAAAGTTAACCAAAGGAACTCTGATATGATAATAATAATAATAAATAGCATTTGTATAGCGCATGTCCCCACTCAACAGCAGGCTCTAGCTATGCGCTTTACACTATATTATTACCCCAGCAGACCATAGAACACTCCGAAACATTCTCAGCTTCCCGGGAAGCATATAGTGCAAGCAGTTGATTAAGCGCTTAAACACTAACAAACTGACACGATCTTTCGCTGTCTATAGCCGGGTACCCATTCCCACCTGGGTGAAGTGAGGAAAATTCGTGTAAAGTGCCTTTCCCAAGGACACAACGTCGAGCCCCTGACGGGATTCGAACCCACGACCTTACGGTTGCGATTCTTGAACTTTGTATGCTATTTTTTTTATAGAAAAGAAAGGAGGATGAACATAGAATAAATTCAAAGTGTGTTAGAAAATAAATACATTCAAAGTAAATGAATCTGAAAATAATATTATACTGCAGAACTAACGTGTAATGAAAGAAGAGAACATTCAACTTAATTTATGATGTAATTATTAATTTTAAAAGAACAAGAAAAAAAGAAAGGATGTTGATAAAAATAATAGCACAATAATTGCTCCCTCAATTGATAGAACACTTAACCCTCCTTAGAATTGTAATCCGTTTGTCACGCCCTCTTGTGATGTATCATGGCTGAATAAAGATATTGTTAACTTGACCAGTGAGCCTGTTATCTTTTTTATTGTCGTTTCCCATGTGTATGACTGGTCAACAATAAGAACAGAAAGGCAAACATTTCCCTTTTTTACGGTCTTCTGACCTGCTGTGTTTCCATATCTAAGCATGTCTAGCACCTTGGCATGAGTGGAGGAAAAGTTACTGCTGATCTGCGTTCTGTATAAACCTGTCTGCGTGTCATTCGTGCAGAGATCATCACGAACAGACACAGTTTTTAGTCAGTGAGGACTACTTCGTTTCCGTTTGAAGACATGGCATGCACATTAAGAACATGCAAGATAAAAACAAGTGTAATGTCTGCGTATTTTTGTTGGAGCTAAAAAGCGAAAGATTGAATGGTTTATATATGTGACAGTGACATGGATACCCAGCAAGTCTAACAAGGCTGATTCATAAAGTGCCCCCGGGTTCAGCAACGAGAATATCGACATTTTGAAAAAGGTGCCAGGTTTGAGAAATAAGAAAACGAAAGAAAGCTAATGATATGTTTACTAACTTGATAACAATTATCAATTAGTTTGCTATTATGCTGTACTAGTGTTTAGTACGTTAAGACTCATGTTATCATTACCATCAGCCTTTCTCACGCTCTAGCCTGTCTGAGTAAAAGCCACCAACAAAGAGCTTTCTCTCTACTCTGTCCTGCGTTACTGTCTCCACCTCTGTCTAGTTCCATACCATCTCCTTTAGGTCCGAACATTATCCCCCCGCCCCTTTCCGATTCATGTAGTGTACGCTTTTGACACGCACGGGTGTTGAAAAGCGCTGTCTTGGTTTTAGTTCCTCCAATTCCTTATTTCCTTGTCTTTCTCAGTTGTGTGAAAGCACCCCTATTCTATTCTTGTCTTGACATTTGCGTTTGTTCCTCCAACATTTTCAATCATGTTTCCAAAGTAGATGTAGGAATCGACTTCTTCTAGTGGTGCCTCCCTGAAAGTAATCTGATCATTAATGGTGGTGTTGATCCTCGTATCTTGAACTTGTCAGGACGTACTTTCGGAAAGGTGGAAAGTGTTTGTTCGTAACCTATACCTTGACCTAGGGGGGAAAAGAATGATGGTGATGATGACTTAAAGGCCTGACACTTGTTAAATATTTACAAGATCTCTCGTTTTCTATTGGTGACGGTGTGAAAGTAAAGTAAGATCATACTAAAAATACAAAGCCCAAGTCCCAAGCTGGGTCCATAATGTCCATCGGATTCCCACAAGTCAGCTTTCTGTGGTCATCTTATGATTCAGTCGATGGAAGAAAAAAATCCTCATCAAAACAATACAAACAAACAAACAAACCAACCAACCAAAACAAGAAAGATGACAGTATACATTCCTGTTTCTCTCAAGTGTGCATCGGGAAGCTGTTGTTGAACTGGCCTTCACGGATGACTCTGCAGCTTGTATCCATGTAGTATTCCTGAATTAGTCTGAATAGTTTTCCAGGGATGCCACAGTGTCTGAGAATCAGTATCAGTTGTCATGATGGAGGCTGTCAAATGCTTTTTCGTGGTCCACGACTTTAGTTAGAGGCAGTGAGTTCCATTCTAATCACAGCTCGGATATGATCCACAGATCGAAATCTGATCTTTAGAAGGTCATTTTTTTCTGAACCCTGCTTGTTTGTCTCTCCCATGGGGGTCCACGGTTTTCATGTGTCCCAGGATATAACTGTTGGGTTCTTTACCGGCGACTGACAACAAAATTATTCCCCCGTTATTTTTTCAGCAGTTGCTTAAGTCATCTTTCTAGAGTAGATTGGTGAGGTGTCATTCTTTCCAGTCCATTGGGGTTTCGTTACCATCTCAGTTTTTGAACTAAAAAACCCCCAACAACAACAAGTGGGTGGATGTTTTCATACGATACCCCATTATCTGTTTTTAGCGCATAATAATAATGTTGTCAAGTCCCGCCTCTTTTCCTTTTCGGGATGGAAAAAGGACCCATATGATTTCTTTTTTTTTTCTTTACTGGTGGGTCACTATAAATATCCAATTAATCTGCAACTACAGGAGGTATATCTGGTGTCTTGGTGACATAAGAGGTTACGGCTGGTGTTTATTTTTACAAGGGGTGTACCTCCTACTACTGTGCAGCCTATTTGTTTGTTCTTCCCAATCCCGTAGGGCCGGCACGGGGCGTGCGAGAGGTTGGGCGACAATAACCGTGCCGTTAACATAAAGAATCCAAACCAATTGTTACACTGACCTGATTAAATTCAAAAGTACAGCCTTATCCCCAAAGTTGTTTGTGAAACTTATCAGCTCTCCGTTGGCTGAGTTTCAAGACAGGGAAGTGACCGAGTCGTGTGAGATTGGCCTCATTCTCTGCCGCATTGTCCTCTCAACCTGTGGCCTTGTCTTAACGCTAAAGGGTCATTCCATAAAAATGACTGACTTATTACAGTGAGAAGAAGGTTGTATTTAACAAAATACGAGAGGCATACCAAAAGTGTTTTTTTTAACCTGACCTTGAAGGAATAAAGGAAGAAAGCTGAAATTTGAGACTAACCTTGATGTGGATGTGGCAAAATGTCTTAGCCACTTTCTCGCGCAGTTTCTGCAGCTTATCTTAAAGTATGTCTGGCGCGTTGTCGTGAAGCAATGAAACGCCTTTTCAGGTGTTTCCTCTGTTTTTCCTTTATAGCCTCTCGTAATTTATTTAGCTGGCTAGAATAATGGTCTTCGGTGATCCTATTTCCATTTTCAAGATAGTGTGTCATAATCACTTCTTCTTGCCCCCCCCCCCCCGAAAAAAGCCACCCCCAAAAAAAAACAACAAAAAAAAACTATTAAAAAAACCCTGATAACATCATTTTTCCACTTGATGGCCGCACTATGGCCTTCTTTGGTGTTGGAGACGAGGGCGATTTCCCCTGCATTGATGCAGATTTTGACTCGGGATCGTAGTGGTGGACCCATGTCTCATCCATGATTACAAGTCTTTCGAAAAATTAAGTTTCATCCTTTTCCTACAGACCAAGCAATTCCTGACAACAATCCACATGTTGAACATTTTAAGGAGGAGTCAACAAACGTGGGACCCATCTCGCAGAAACCTTGGTCATATTCAAATCTTCTTTTAAGATTCGTTCTACTGATCCAATTCTAAGCCTGGTTTCTTCGCTCAAACGTTCGACTGTCACCAGCGTATCAGACAGACAACACACGTTTCTTGATTTTCAACGCATTCTGTTCCGTTGTTACTGTCTCTGCGCGACTATCACGGTGGTCATCTTCAATGTCTATGAATCTGCATTTGAATTTTTTACGCCAAAATTTTTATCCCAGCATAGAGTGGGCAATCAGATCCAAGTACGGCATGAATCTCCGTAAAAATATCCCGTAGTTGCTTGTCTTGCAAGAACAAAATTTCTATTACTGTCCTGTGCTCAATTTTCTTCATTTTTACGTTGAAACTAGAGAACAACATACCTCCATTCGCTTACAGTGCGCTGGTGTTAAAACCAGTAATAGGAAATTTCCCAAAATTTACACATGCATTCTAGGCAGACGATTGTTGGCTTTCACCCTAAATTTCAGCTTTCTACCTTTTTTTTCTTCATGGTCAGGTAAAAAACCCCCCCACTAACTTTTGGTACGCCCCTCGTATAATAAAAAGGGTAAAGAATGGCTATATCACTGTTTAGAACTGTTTCCTGTATGTCATTGTCTCCAGTTTTCCTGGAATGGCCCAAAATCATGTCCTTGAACGGGGTTAGTTTTTAGTGCAAAGAGGGCTGCATTAATCGTCAACACGATTAAACATTAATAATAACAAACACGAGGAATGGCTTCCCAGATTGCGTAAGGTCAGAAACCCACATGAACACTCTAGAATGTGCAGTTTCATCACTTATTCTTTAAGACAAGCAACGAACAAAATAACGAACATTTCTGGACTTCCTTCTACGGAAAAATAGAGAAGCGAAGATAAGACGGGACCGGTATGTGTTTTTGACAGCAGATTGCAGCAAATGTTTAAAAAAGAAAAAGAAAAGAAAAAATCAAAACAACGACGGTAAAAAGCCCCCATAAACAAGCAAAAACGAAAGTAATAACAACTTCATTAATTATGCACAAAGCAATCCTGCCCGAATTTTTCAGTATATATAAAGCCACACAAGAGTGCAATGAGGTATCTCAGTTCTTGAGAACCCAAACAGCCACAATGAAGACTTTGGTAGCCATACTCGCCGCACTTATTGGTAAGAAAGAACGACTCTTTTTTGTTTGTTTGTTTTTCATTTTGTATTAAGTACCCAAAGTTAAAGCTCATGTAGATCTATACCAAGGCACAGAGGCAATACAGTGGAATCTTGTTATAACGAGAGGGGGAGGGGGGGGGGGGGGGGGGGCGAGAGGGAGGAAAGAGAGAGAGAGAGAGAGAGAGAGAGAGGGGGGGACTGGTACGAAAGTTCCGTTACAGCAGGATACTTGTTATAAGGGATCCAGTAATACATTCAAGGGAAATAATAAAGTAGGCCTAATCTATGAGTTTGGTGTTCTCTTTATTTTCTTTTGTTATCTCCTCTGAAGACGATTTTGTTTCAACATGACCTTTAGGTCTTACTTGATCAAAAATCGAATCGATTAGAAAGAAAGGGCTCCAGACTAACTCGTCCACTGTGTTGTCCCCCACCCCACCACTCTCTGTGGTAACGTTCCGTCTGCTTGCGCACGCCACACATTCATTCCATCCATCACAACACTGTGACCTCTCCATCCCCGCATCGGAGAAGTGAGAGGCATGATAGGTCTAGGCCTAGGCCTAGGCCTAGGCAGGCCTAGGCCTAGATAATCTAGACAAGGCTGGCCTATCACACGATGCGTTCTGCTTGTCTGCGCATGCCACACCCTCCCTACTCATTCGCTCCCTTCTTCATTTTTGACACACGTGGGCTCTCCCATTCTTTATTTCGCTAGTTCACCAACACGTTTCTCAAGTTGCAAGGTTTTACTTTATGTATAATTGGCCTATGCGATGTGCACAGCAGCAGCAATATTCCGCTATTACCGACTCCAGTGTTTGTCTGATTGCGCTATAGTAGTATTTTATTTACAAAGATAAAGAAGAGACCCCCCCCCCGGGGTGTTAGAATAGTGTCTTTATAACAGACGTCTCGTTATTTCAGGACTCGTTATAAGTGGACTCCACTGTATTTAATAAGTAAGTACTTCTTGAATGCCACTTCTAACATAGACTACGAGTGTTAATTTGCTTGTTTGTTTAATTGTTTGTCTATTTGTTTTTTGTTTTGTTTGGATTACAGAGAAGTGCATTGAAGCGACAACGACCAGTTTTAAAATAAAGATAATGATAGACGTAATAATAGTAATGAGAATTCATGTAGCTCCTAATCCCTAGAAGGCCCTAAGAGCAGAAAAATGCAGAATTATAATTCAACTTTAACTGACAAATATAAAGACAAAAAATGCACATTATGAAACCATTTAACAACAACAACAACAACAACAACATCAACAACAACAACAACAACAACAACAACAACAACAACAACGACAACAAACAATAACAACAACAACAACAACAACAACAACAACAACAACAACAACAACAACAACAACAACAACAACAACAACAACAACAACAACAACAAAAACTACAACAACAATACACATACAAACTCCCAAACCCACACGTATTATCAGATCCAAAGTTTACTGACAGAGGATAATATTGAATAAATAATTATGTGTCTTAAGTGCAGGGAAAGGTACAGGAAAACCCCCGCAAGAGATGATAGAAACATTGAGGTTGGACGGGAAGGGAGGGGGGGGGCAAAGAAAAGTCTAAATACAATTGGCTTGACTCCTTTTTGACCCCCCCCCCCCCCCAACCACTAGGTGCTAGCTCAATTTTTAAAAATTTTTTCACGCCCACATCGACACAATTTTGGAAAATATAATTATCAGGAGGGCCTCCGACCCTGCCTTGCAGGGCGAACCCAGGCTGCGGGGGATACACCATCCTGGCAGAAATACGTACTGAGATACTCGATAACAATGTTCTCTTCTCTTGGGAATCGAATTCGGGTCTCTTGTGTACCACAGCAAAGCCTTTAACCGCTACACCACAGACGCCGATACACTATCTTGTGCACATAGAGATAATCTATTATCTATTTGTGGTGGCCGAATTTTGCTATTCAAAAGGCTTTTTAATGGCTGCATCGATCGACATTCGTTTTTCGCCAAAAGATTCTTTAAAATATTCTCCAGAGCGTGTCGCCCTTGGTTTTTTCAGTTTTGAGACAGTTTAGCTGCAAAAAGCTAAATTTCTTTATTTCGCCGATCGCTTTTGTAGGCCGACGTTTCGGTCTTGGTAATTTTAGAAAATCGGGAAGTGATATTTCGCGAGGCGCATTTTGTTTTGAGAGTATAGATCTAGACCTTATAATTTTTTTGCATCTCCCAAGATTTATTGCCCCATTCCAGTAGAGTGTAAATATAGTAGGCCAATGACTTTAAGTTGATATTAAAGCACCTATCATTCGTTTCATCGTAAGGGGGCCCAGCTAGTAATATATAAGAAAGGATACATGACATATGGCCAAAATAAAGGGGGCGCTTATTTTGGG